TGGGGACTGGGCGTTGCCTGCGGCCTGCTTCTGTATGGTCCTGCTTTAGCCACTAGTTGCTCTGCGGCAAGGATTAGACCATATGATTAATAAACACTGCGAAGACCTCTCATTAGCTCTGAAGGATACTTGTTACCAGCGTGCTTTCTGACTAGTTTTACCAATCACTCCTTTCTCTTAGCAGGTAGACAGGAATACAGTCAACATTGTAGTAGATCATGATGTTCACAGTAAGGCATTTCTTTATTAAGGATTTCCATCTTCTGGGGAGGAGAAAAATAATACAGACAAGCAGAAAATATTTTAGATAAAATAAATTTTTTTAATCTAGCTACTTCCTTTACCTATAAATAGATGGATTTCTTGCATGTGACTTGGATAAAGTTATCAGTGAATGAGAAGCAAAGTTTAAAAAAAAATCAGTTTAGTTCCTTGAAGGCATTTTATGATGATCGTTGGACTATTAAATAAAAAAGAATTTGTTTTTAAGGCAAGGAAGGGAGAGGTTAACAAAGAAAAGGGAGCTGATTTGGGGAGACTCTGTCTAAGGTATGAACTTTGATTTTAATTAAACCAAGGCCTTTGCAGCTATACTACAGTAAAATGATAACAGTAGGATTTCTTGGATTTCTTCCTCCCCCACCCCCCCACAGGACACAATCAACAAATTAGAAAATGAGTTGAGAACCACAAAGAGTGAAATGGCACGGTACTTAAAAGAATATCAAGACCTCCTCAATGTGAAGATGGCTTTGGACATTGAGATCGCAGCTTACAGGTAAACGCAGAAGGGCGAAGGCCTCAGCCATTCAGCCTCAGGAAGAAAATCAGATTTCATTCATGTGGAATCAGAAACCTTCATGAGTAGTTCGTTGAAATAATTGTTTGCTTTTTGGCATTTGCCAAGTAGGTACTTAAACAAACATGTTAGAATTTAACCCTAATAATGAGTCCTGTTCTTAGCTTCTCATTTTAAAATCTAGTAGGACCCCTTGTAAAGTGGTCTCTTGTTGTTGTTGTTGGTTTTATCTTGGTCACAACATCCCCAGCATTAGGTTTTGATCATTGCCACCCCTGCTCCTGCTTGCCAGATGCCTTTTAGAGTGGCATCAGGAAAAGACAATGAGTGGTGAGCTCAGAACAAGTCATTCGACACATGTCCTGTGCTCATGTTTGGTAACCACCATGCCCCTGCCTCCCCAGGAAACTCTTGGAAGGCGAGGAGACCCGGCTCAGTTTCACCAGCGTGGGAGGCATAACCAGCGGCTACTCCCAGAGCTCTCAGGTCTTTGGCCGGTCTGCCTATGGCGGTTTACAGACCAGCTCCTACTTGATGTCGGCTCGCTCCTTCCCGTCTTACTATACCAGCCACGTCCAAGAAGAGCAGATCGAGGTGGAGGAGACCGTTGAGGCTTCAAAAGCGGAGGAAGCCAAGGACGAACCCCCATCCGAAGGAGAAGCTGAAGAAGAGAAGGAGAAGGAAGAGGGAGAGGAAGAGGAGGGGGGAGAGGAGGAAGAAGGTATGATACAAAGACAAACCCTTACAACTTCAAGGGCAACCTGAGTGTGGGTATTTGTTAGGAGGTGGATAAGATAAATGAAGCCTTGCTTATGCCGAGGAAGTTCCAGTCGCATGTGTGTTTAGAATGCTAAATGATACATTTCGCCTTTAGGAAGCACCCGATTTCTCAAATTGGCTATCCTCCCAGAGATGCATGTCTCTATTTAGCTTGGTAGTGTTTTGAAAATAGCTCTTTTCAGTCATACTAAACATTTAAAAATATATTCATTGAACACAGCAGTTTGGTGTCCTAAAGAATAAGAAGAAATACCAGGCACATAATAAAAAGAATACTGAGGTCCTGGAGAGGAGGAGAGCTTCCAGTATCTAGCAACAATCTCATTCTATTTTAAATATGTGTTCAGGGGCAAATTATTCCTGGCAAGCATTGTCTGTTGCATGTGTTTTGGGAGAGTAGAGCCAAGAGGTTTTGGTGAAGCATTCTGACATTTGTGATGTCTCCTAAACCCTAAGCAGACACGTTTGAACTGGACTGACCCTGGATTTGGAGTTTGTACATTTTCTTTTTCTGTTAAAGGTGCCAAGGAAGAATCTGAGGATGCAAAGGAGGAAGAAGGAGGCGAAGGAGAAGAAGAAGACACCAAAGAAGCTGAAGAGGATGAGAAAAAAGATGAAGGTGCTGGGGAGGAGCAAGCAACCAAGAAGAAAGATTGAGCCCCCCTTTTCCTTAATTATTCCAGGAATAATCCTTCCGAAATCAGATCAACCCCATCACCAACCATGCAGTTGAGTTCCAGATACTATATGAATTAAGAAGTCAATATATGTATAATTCTGAGATGACTCAGGTTGGACATTAAATGTTGTGCTATGACTTTTCTCCTTACGCAGAGTATCTGTTTGCTTGCAGAGTGGCTTCCTGGCTTGCCGCCAGCCTGTGCATGGTCCATGCTTATGAGTTCAGGATCTATGGCAATGTGAATAATTCAGATGTTTACAATTAAAACCACATGAATAAATGAATTCACTAATGTTCATGTTAAACTTCATGGAAAAAAATAGCCCTTTGAACCTTTGGTGGTTAGAAATTAAAGACCTCGAATTATGTGCAATAAACAGTAAATAAAGTTACACTGAGTGACATTTCTTGCTGTGGTTGTTGAGTTAATTCAACTATCTTAAAGAAGGCCCCCAAATAAGCCATATACAAGTGGACTGTTGACCTCCAAATTTTTTTAAGCCAAAGTATTAACAATCACAATGCATCTTCCCCCTTAACTGGTAATTATGAGGGGTATAGTTAGGTCATGACCATTCATGAAATCGCTTCCTTCAAAAATGTTACTGATAATAAACTTGAGTAAATGAGAGTCCCTGGGGTTTTCTTTTTCTTTTATAAGTAGTAATATATTTTGCCCCATAAAATGTACTATATAATATTGGGAATGACTTTATGGAAGCAATTCTGAAATTACCTGATAAATATACCCTTTATGGTAAACAAGTAACTTTTAAACCAGTATATAATAATAAATGCAATTTGGATAGATGGTGAGTCCCACCTGTTCATCATTGTAACAGCATTAAAATATATAGTCTAAATATCATGGGCAGAAGTTGAAACACAAGCAAATGATATAATCCGAAGGAGTAATTTTCTTATCAATGTATAATTTTGGACAGAAAATAAAAAAGTTATTTGTTATTGCAAACACGTTGCCTGCAATCCTGAGCTCATGATTTAATGTGTTAGCTTTTTCTGTTGCCTTGAGTAAATAATAAATGAATGGTACCCATTTAAACCTTTTAAAAACTACAGATACAGGTAATGAAATTGTTATAAGTCACTAAAGGGGAGATTCTATATGTGTATGTTACAGTGCCATTGCTCTGCATGTCTATTGGGAAATATTTGAATTTCAATGATAGCTCTAACTGGTTGGACATTGCATCACCTACCACCCACCCCATTTGTCCTGTGTCCACTGTAAAGTTATGAAAGCTCTTGCATTTGCACTTGATGTGGAATGTCGATGAAATTATTGATGACCTGCTGTTCTGCTTCTGTTCTTACACAATTGCTTTGTCAGCTAATTTCGTTCAATATTTGTTCTTCAGTCAATTTTTAAAAGTCATGAATTTAACCTGAAAGCTAAGTGGTCTCCATTTAAAGTTACCTGATCCCGTCCCATTACCGATTTCTAGTTAAGTATACATCACCATGCAAATAGGTAAAAGATCGCTTTACCTATCATGATGCTATGAATCTGAATTATGAAGATTCTCAGTACATCGGCTTCTGTAAAGACTAGCAGTCACCTCAGAAACCAAGCTTTTCACATTTATGTTCATTAAACATGGGATGCTGCATCTGGTAAAACTCAGAGAGATGCAAATTACATGTAAAGAAGTAACTTTAGCCAAATGGAAACAGCTGGTTGGTTTGAGAATTATCTTGAAATGAGAACATTTTACCATACTCTATCCTGTGTGCCACAATAAAATACTGAAAAACCTAAACTAAGTGGATTTGAAATCTTTTTTAAAAATGTCCTCAAATTTGGTATCTTGGTCAGTACCCCTCTTTTTTGCTCCCTGCTCCAAACCCCAATTCTCTTTCAGTAGTCTCTCTCCCAGTTAATGACACCACTCCCCAGTCATCCAATTCTGCAAACCGGAGACTGGGCATGACATCATACCTCCCATTTCCTCTCCCCAATATCTCTAGTCTAATCTATCACCGAGTCCTATTGATTTTACTGCCTACATATCCTGAATCATCCACATATCTCCATTTAGACCACCATCACCCTAAGGAACCTCCCAGTGTCTCCACTTATCCTTCAATCAGCACACAACAATAAGCTAATCTTGGAAAGGAACATTTGATCATGCTCTCCCTTTGATCAAAACCTTCCAATAGTTTTCCATTTTTGTAAATATAAAAACCAAAATCTTCAAGGTGATCTCCAAGGCCTGCAAAGACCTGATCCTGAACTAATTCTCTGACCTCATCCTATGAGTATCCCCGTTCCCCTCATTTCTGGTGCTCCCGCACCCTGGCCCTCTGTTCTCCCACCTGCCACACGGTTTTGGCTGATGTATCTGCCTGGAGCACTCATCTTGTCTTTCCTTCCCTCAGCCTCACCCAGCCTCACCCAGGTTGAGGCTCAGTTGCCATTTCCTAGGGGAAGCCTTCCCTGGCTAGGCCAAGTTCCTCTATTAAATGTGTCCTAAAGATCATGTAGACTTTGTAGACTTTTACACACTCATACTCAGCATCTATTTCCCTGGTAATTTGATAAATGTCTGCATCCCCTGCTGTAGTATGATCTTCAGAAGCATGGCAATCTGACCTCTTGCTCATCGCTTAACCTCTAGCATCTAGCATAATTCCTACTGTAGGAAAATACAATAAATATTGATTGAATTAAAAATTCTCAATAGATTAAAATGCCTTCCAGATGACTCGAAAGCCAAGAGTAGTCAATAATCAGTCCCAGTCTAGTCAACACCGTGTGGAAGGAGCAGAGAACAAAGAATCAAGTGTCTGTTTTGGATTTGAGCATTGTTTGTTATGGAGCTCTGGCCATCCCCACCCCCACCCTCACTCTGGCCTCAACTTTCTTAGCTGCATAAGGGTTCAACAGTTGATGCCTCAGATCCTTTTTAGATTCATAATTCAAAATTCCCTGGGCTGGCTGAGTGGTGCGATGGTTAAGAACTCGCTTGGGATGCCAGAGGGCCCCGGTTCGGATCCCACATATGAGGGCCAGTGACACTGCCCTCTACAGCTAAGATGGTGAACAACAGCTCAACCTGGAGCTGGGCTGCCGTGAGTCGCTGGCGACGGCGTAGGCTGCAGCCCCTGTGGCAGTGGGTTGCCATGGGCTATCGTGTGTAGCCAGCAGCCAGCGTGAGCGGCCAGCAGCCAGCGTGAGCGGCCGTCCAGAAGCCAGCGACTGATCTGCCTCGCCAGGGAAGAGCGCAATGATGGTGCCAACTTGGGCCAGTGAAGCAGTGTCCTCCACAACTAGACTTAAGAACAACAACAAAAAAAAAAACGACAGCAACTTGTCTGTTCCCCTTCCCCCAATTCCCCAGCAGTGTTCCCATCCACCCAATTCCCCAATAAAAATCTTAAAAAAAAAAAAATTTCCTCAAAGACTTTAACTAGCTCAGATTAAAGGGAAACATACATATAACTATTATGCTCACCCTAAAATCCATCACTTAAAGGGAATTATTAAACAGTGTCAAGTTTCATTCCTAGCATGAAATTGATAAGCAATTAATTTGATTCCTTTTTTTTCCCCCCTGACATGGAGTTTCTAGTGCTATCACAATAGTTGCTGTGTCCCTGGCACTGATCTAAGTGTATTATATGTATTAACTCATCAATTCCTTTCTTACAACAATGTCATCAGTCCAGTATGATTATCATCTCCACTTTACAGATGAGGAATTATGGCTAGGTGACTTGACCAGAGTCACACAGGGCTGACATTCGAACCTTAAAGCCCAGCTCCAAAGTCCTGGAGCAACCCACTGTCTCATTTGCAGTCAGTCCACCTTCAGAGGCACCCTTGTGACATCAGGTCATATTTTCACAGGCATGTGTTGTGACAATGGCCATGATTATTTCACACAATTACTGGAATTCTTACAATGCAGTCCTTGTACCATTCAAGGGGTGCATTTACATCCTCAGTGTTCTGTTGGGAGTTACTTAGGATGGTCCAGCTTTTCATTAATCCCTTTGATTACCTGTGTGTATATCTTAATTCTTCTTTTTAATTTTAAGCTGTTGGAAGGCAGGAACCAGGTTATATAAACAGAGATGATTTTAAAGTTTATCTTCAAGGATCATCAGCTTCCAGCATGTTTGTTCTCGTGGTGTTATTCTTCTATTTGGTCACAATTTTCTAGTTCTAGTTACGTTTAACTGTTTTAATTAAACATCCTCGATGTTTTTCCTTCTCCTTTTCCTCCTTTTGCTCTTGCTTTTCTTCTTCCTCCTCCTCCTCCTCCTTTTTGTATGTTTTCTTGTTGTAAGCTATTTTAAATTATTTTGGAAAAGGTGTAAATATACACCAAATAAATAAGTAAATAAATGTTTTTGTTTCCTTTCACAACACCCATCAAAGTGCTTTGTGTTTAGTGGGCATTTATTTTATTTTTTTATTTTATTGGGGAACAGCCATGGTCATTGGTTACACATTGCTTTCATGCTACAATGGCATAGTTGAATCTTTTAGGGAGGGCGCAGCTCACAGTGGCCCATGCGGGGATCGAACCAGCAACCTTGGTGCTATCAGCATGGTGCTCTAACCAACTGAGCTAACCGGTCACCCCTAGTGGGAATCTTAATAAATGTTTCTAGAATGGCAAAGGTGAAATATTTGTGAGGACCTTTCATAAACAAGGACAGGATGGAGAATTTTTTCTTTCTTCCTTGGGGAGAGAGTGTGAAATGTCAGAAGTGGCCCAGCCAGGATTCATATAGGCATACCTCATTTTATTGCACTTTACCAATATCCGTTTTTCACAAATTGAAGGTAAGAGCCTCCATCAGCAAAAAGATTACAACTTGCTGAAGGCTCTGATAATTGCTAGCATTTTTAAGCAATAAAGTATTTTTAATTAAGTTCTGTACATTCTTTTAGACATAATGCTATTGCACACTGAATAGGCTCCAGTATGCTGTAAACATAACTTTTATATGCACAGGGAAACCAAAAAATTTGTGCAACTCACTTTATTGAGACATTCGCTTTATTATGGTGGTTGGAACCCAGACCCACAATATTTCTGAGATATGCCTGTATTTGAAAGGGGTTCCAGTGGAGAATTCAGGATGGTTTCCTCTTGGGAAAATGTCCAGCAGGATGGACTGCAGTGAATTATACAAGCTCTGCAGCGGGGGCCATTTTCAGTTTAAGGTCCTCTATAAAATTCCTACTGAAGAGTCTTACATGAGAGCCAGAAAGCCAAAAGATAAAGCATCATGAGAAGAAAGAAATTTTCAGCAGCCCTAGAATGTAACTATCAGCAGCTTTTTAATTCTACTTCAACATAGGTAATTATTTGGATGTGAAAATTTTTCAAAAATAAATACTAAAACAACAATATTAAAAAATTTTTAAAGGAAAAATATCACATTTCCTTCATTCAACCACCATTATTTCATTTGCATATTCTTCTTTAGTCCTTGCTTCTATTTTTGTATATTTTCACATAGCTCATCCATTCATTATTAATCATGCACTACATGCCAGGTACTATGTATAGACAGGAGGAATAAAGCAGACAATATCTCTACTTTGAGGGAGTACATTGTGTGTGTGTGTGTGTGTGTGTGTGTGTGTGTGTGTGTGTGTGTGTGTGTAAACAGGCAATATGCAAATAAATAAGTTAATAGGTAGGTGACGTTGGATCTGAGCCAGACATGCAATGATCTGGGGAGAGAGTGTTTCAGGTAGAGGGAACAGCAAGTGCAAAAGTTTGGATTGTTTCAACCCAGAAAAATGCCTTCAGCTCACTGGTAAATATTAAGAAAAGACAGAGTATGGCTGGCGGAGTGGCTCGGTAGGTTAAGAGCTCATTCAAAAGTGCAAGCTCTGAGCAACAGGGTCGCCAGTTTGATTCCTGGCCTGAGCTGAGCTGCCGCTGAGCTGCCCACAGGTGGCAGGATGACTCAGCTAAAAAAAAAAAAAAAAGGCAGAGTAGGAGATAGGGCTGAGAAAGGCAGGCAAAGCCAGTTTATGCAGGGGTTTGTAGATGAGGAAGTTTATATTTTATTCCTTGTGCAATTAAAAACTTTTGAAAGGATTAAGCAACAAAGGTGACATGATCTGATTTCTGTTTTATAAAGATCACTCTGTCTCTTGTGTGGAGAAATGGAGTTTCAGGAAGCAAGAATCAAAGTATAGAGACTGACTAAATGGCGATTTTAGTCCAAGTAAGAGAAGATCGTATGGTGACTTAGGGAAGGGCAGTAGAGGTGGCGTGATGTGGTGTGATTTAGGAAGTTTTTGAGGGTTTTTTTTTCCTCTGACAGAATAAATGCATGAAGAGGGAAAGTTGTAAACGGTATCTTATTTTTAATAACCACATAATATTTTAACACATTAATATACAGTGTGTATTAGCCATCTATTGCTACATAACAAATCACTTCAAAGCTTAGTGACTTAAAACAACCCAATCACTCATTAGTTCTTAGTCTCCACGCATCAGGAAGTTGGGAGTGGCTCAGTTGGGATGTTCTGGCTCTGGGTCTGTAATGGGATTGCAGTCAGATGCTGTCTGAGGTTCCTGTTATCTGAAGGCTTGATTCTGTGATCTGCAGATTCTACTTCAAGGTGGCTCACCCATTTGGCTGGCAATTTCTTCTCCATGTGGGCCTTTCTACAGAGCTGCTTGAGGACTCTTACAACATGGCGGCTGGCCTCCCCCAGAGCAAAGCCTCCAAGAGCCAAGGCAGGAGTTGCAATGTCGTTTATGAGCTAGCCTTGAAA